CCTGAAAACCCGGCCCCGCGTCGCTGAAAGGCGTTTGAACAGCAGAAAGTTTCAACTTTTCTGGAAAGCCAAGGCGGTGGGGGACGTAATTGCATCTTGTATTCCTAATGAATCAAACGTACGTTAAAAAGAAAACCCAATGAAAGGTCTTGCAGAGCCAAGGCTTTTTGTGTCCGCAGCGTTTCATCGTGAAGCAGCTCGCAGGATTTCAGCAGGGTTGTTGCATGTGGTTGAAAATAAAACATTAAGGTGGCATGGTAGTTGCCAGGAAGCTTTAACCGTTCAGATTCTTGCAAATCTTGCAGAGAAAACAGATGTTTCCCTACGAAAAAAAGTGTGTTGAAATCACTGGCTATTGTAGGAATTAGTAGGAAGCATAATTTTAACTTTTCTTTTTTTTGCTTTGCTTCTACTCTTGAATTTTTTGTTAGCTCTTTTGCACATCAAAACATGTATTCTGTCAGACTTCACTGTTTTAAGTTCATAATGTTAAGAACTACTGAATTTGAGGACTTCTTGTGTAAGGACTAGCAAGACTGGGACCTTAATTTAGAAGTGTGACAGGACAATAAATTTTTGGGGATTTTATGTTAAGATTGTTCCTTTTCAGCAGAATGCAGCGACATCTTATAGTATGCTTTAACTTAAATACTCACTTCTAAGTCTGTTGAGTACTTCTTGAAGCTGACATTCAAAGCCATGCATGCAGTGGAATTGTTAACTACAAATAGAGGAAAGTCTCCAAAAAACATGTCTGGATCCAGCAAAGGAGCTCAGTTGGCATGACCCTTCGATTCTTTACCAAAGGGAGTGCGTCAAAGGAGTTATTTTTATGAAGGGAGTATTCATTTCTTAACAACTGAGAGCGCAAGAGAAATAATTGAAGTAGTAGTAGCTAATATTTTAATTATTCAGCTCTTATATCTTTATTATGTGTTTTGTTTAAGCATTTGGTAAAGAAAAGGACAAAGAGAAGAAGTTAGACGATGACAGCACCAGTACCACAGTCCCTCAGTCGGCTTTCTTGGGCCCAACATTATGGGACAAGACACTGCCATATGATGGAGACACTTTCCAGTTGGAATACATGGACCTGGAAGAATTCCTCTCAGAAAATGGCATTCCACCCAGCCCAAACCAGCACGAGCATAGCCCACACCAGTCAGGTCTCCAGCAAGCTACCTCAGCATCACCTTCTGTCATGGACCTCAGCAGCAGGGCTTCTACTTCAGTCCATCCAGGCATGGTGTCGCAGAACTGCATGCAGAGCCCGGTCAGACCAGGTAATCAGCCCTAAAAACTTCCTATGGATTTTGGCCTCGCCAGTGTAAATCATTACTTGTCCCTGTATGGTTGACAGGCAGCTTAGAGAGGACTGATACGAGTCAAGTCACTCGCACTCCAAAAAATAAAAATAATAGCGCTAGTTATTGCCAGGTTGCTCCACTGGGATTTTCCTTTAAATTATGTAAGGAAGCTGTGGGAATTCCAAGGAAACTTGCCTGTCATCTCCTCTTCATTCGTAGCCCAGCTATTAGCAAGTAAAAAAAAAAAAAATGCAGAAGCGGAATAGTAATGCGTAGATGCCATGGTGTTAAATGAACAGGGGGAAGGACTGTGAAAGAGAATATTCCTTTGGCCAGTATTTGATATGAGAACACAGGATTGGGTAATTATTTTGAAGTTAAAGATAGTGCTTCCTGTTTGAAACTTTGGCCATAATCTTATTCTCTATTGAGCAAAGTAAAATTTGCCACAGTACTCTGGGTGGGAAGTAAATGTTGGAACTGCATTATAATCTTGCTTAAATTAGCATAAACTGAGTGTAACTCTGACCTGAGTTGATAAATTACATCTATAGTCAACCTAAGCTGTAGGCGAAGAAAACATCATGGAGTCCAAGTTCTGATTATAATGTGTGATTCAAACCCATTTGTCAATGGAAACCTTCTGTTAGTTTATTAGCACTTGAAATCATCCCTTTAGAGACACTAGTAGGAATCCGGAATAATTGCTCTGGCTTGACACCGGCATGGCTGAGATCATGGTCAGTGGAATAGTGTCAACATTGAAGTCTGGAAAACATGGAGCTTTGCCTTTCTTTCTTAAAAAAAAACAACGAAACAAACAAAAGAAAGACCAAGGGTGACTTACTTGCTGTGCTCTTCTGCTCACACAAGGTTTGCTAGAGCAAAGTGTGCGCTTGGGAGCAGGAAACCACTCCTCTCCCTTCTGCTTGATCGTTTGCCATGCTCAGCGTGCGAAGTCATTGTCAGAATCATCTGATAAGGAGGCAAAATAAATAAATAGAAGGACAAAAGTTGTGGAGCAGGATGAAATAGAAAAGTCTTACAAGTCTGCAACATTTCTTTCTCATTAAAAAGAAATAAAACACCCCAAACCTGTCAACAGACTCTGGCTGCAAGTCAGAAGTCATGGATTTCATTTACTTACTTTTTACTTTACATGGATTTGACTTTGTTTTGTATTTCAGCTTCAAGGCATTTCATAGTGAACTAATAACTTAAAAGGGTTTCTAAAGTTAAAATATTACATTTTATTTGGAGTTGGCAAGAGTGGAATATAAAAAACCTTGCTTTTTCTGAGCCAGTTTTTAAAAATAGTGCATATACGCTACCCCATTTTCTGTTGCATATGCACACATAAAATTAACAGCAGATAATGTGTCCTCATTCTTTTTTTCAGAGGAGTCTGGTTATGGGTCAGGCTTCTAATGATCACCTGTCAGATTTTATTTGTAAGCAGCTGTCCGTGTGACTTTTCAGCTCATTGATTTTTTTTTTTTTTGAGTTTTTCCTGAGCCATTTGCAGCTCAGGGTTACAAACTTTCCTCACTAGAAACTCTGTAAACATTTTTTCTGTTGTAAAAGAAGTCATGTCTCTTGGGGTAGGATAAAACATAAAAATTTGCAGATATTTTTCCCCCATACCATCTTCCCTTAAGAATAATATAATTCTTTGGTTAAATGTGTGTGTTTGTTTTTTTTAAAGGGAGGTCATTCCATTTCTTAAAATAGTATTTTCTTCCCTCTCTCCCTTTTACAGATAGGCACTATGACTTAATTAACAGTAGTCTGGTTTATCATCAGCTTGTTGAAATTTTTATGTGCCATCGTGTAAAAAATCTTACTTTGACAATCTGTTTTGAAGAGACGATGATCTTAGAGTTCAGCGTTTGAGCAAGTTTTAAAATAAGAGTATATATATTTTAACTTTTTTTTTTGTTAAAAGTAAAAATGAGCATTTAAGGTTGTCATAAAAGTGCCAATGCAAGCGTGCTGCTTTGAAACCATAGAATCATAGAATCGTTTAGGTTAGAAAAGACCTTTAAGATCATCAAGTCCAACCATTAACCCTGCACTGCCAAGTCTACCAAAAAATGAAATATGAAAGTTAGTCTGGAGGTAACTGTTAAAATCATTATAATGAAGCCTTTTGGTTAATATATTGTAATACTTTTAAAATACATTTTTTTAAACTGTCACATGAAGAAAGGCGTTTTTAATTGGTATGAGCTACTGTTCCAGTATGCGTGGCTCTTGTGATTTGTATTATTGTAATAGACCAAAGAACAAATAGTATAAAGTATACAATTTCAATAAAAATTAATTCCATTTGATCTTACTATTTTTAGGAAAACTGAATTTTTTTAGGTGATAGAAATATTTCAGTATTGTGTCCTCTGAATTTTGTATTTACAATGGAAGCCTGCTAGAGTGTGTGGACTCTGGCTGAAGGAAGGGTCAATTCCTGTACTGCTTATGTCTCTACTCTAAATGGCTCTGCAGCATTTACCATCAGCATATGACGTGCAGTTGGTCAAAACTCCTATACCTGCATGTACTGTGTACAGGGGAGGATGTACACATGCACGTGGAACACCAAATGTGACTCATGCACGTACACGGTGTATCTCGGACATAGAGAGACTGTAGAAGAGTAGCGTAAGAAGATTTAATTTTGTGCATGTATTGAAATACAAGCCTTATCTGTCTTTAGAAGCTAGCGGTATTGCCCAAATATGTACTTCGGATCTCTTCCAGAGATGGTATAGAAATCTGCATTGGCATTCACTGAGAAGTGTCATCAGACTCGGCAAAGCTGAGCTGACTCTGATGGTAAACATGACATTACAAAATCATCACTGATTTTCTTTTTTTATTTAAAGGTGGTAAAATAATGATGACAGGAACAAGTTTCCTTATAAATTTAACTTAATTCTATATTTCCAGCTTTGATGTTCTGACTGATGGAAAAATGTTTAGACTCACCAGTTCTCTGGCTCATCTGTTCTCTGGACTATAGCGGAGAATAAAGCAAGCACCTACTTTCCCATAAATTCCTATTTGCGGAATGTATGTATAGCAAATACTAGTTATCTTTTTGAAGGGGAGGGACACAGGTTAATTGTGTGGCTATTGCAAGTTTGGAATCTGATGTATTTCTTTTTCACAGTACCAATTTTGTTAATAAAAAACAGTATTTTGATTTATTTTAGCATTGCAGACCACCATTCATTGTAATGTGTAGACACATTTGCAACTTTTTTTTTCCCCTCTCTTTGTATCGGATGCTGGTTAGTTGGTTGAAATCTGTAGTCCCCCTCAGAAAAACAGGTTTTATAAAGCTAGCTTTTAAAGTAACCTGTTACTGCAAACACATTTTCTTGTTGTTTGCAGACCTGGTGGTGTCTTTTGCCATTTTTTTTGTGGAATGTAAATCTCCATTTAACTGCAGAGTACTTTAAGGAAATTGGGCGTATTTGTAACTGTTTTTATGTGAAGTGAGGTTCATATTTTGCAGGTAACTAGTTGGTGGTTACTTTTACCTGTCTCTTTCCCCGTGTAGCCCTTGTTTGGATGAACGGGACAGCTACTGTAAAGGGTTTGAAGGGAGTGAATTAGAGTTCAGAAGTATCAGCTAAGTCTGATGGAAGACCCTAATTAGAAGGTTTTTGGGGTTTTTTTCTGTTTGTCACCAAAGCCTTGGATGTAGGGCTATGTCACAGGGGTGCTGCTGACACAGTGGTAACCCACATATTGTTACTGCTGTGCTCCTTAAGGGGGGATAGGGCTGTTCAGAGGCTTTGAAAAAACTCCCTCATTCTTTGTGTTCAGTGGTTTTCAGTCTGTGTTGCCTGGATGGCTGGGTGCCTTAGACTACTTGCAAAGGATCTGCCAAAGATTATTTAGGGTATGGAAAAAAGAGAAACAAGCTTTGTAATCTGCTGCAGAAATACACATATGTGCAATACCTGCAAGTCTTTAACTTTCAGTTAAAAAAAAAGATTTAGGGGTACATTAATCAACCATCTGAAAACTGTTTCCATTTGAAGTGTACTTATACCCCATCGCCTCCCCACCCCACCCCCCAAGAACACAAAGGTTTTATTAAATGCCGTATCGTATTTATCAGCCCGAGATACTGCACTTTACATGAAGTATCCATTACCTTTTACTTTTTACATAGGTACTGAACTGTAATGATTGACACTAGGTGTGATTGGGTGGTTTTCGGCATTTTCTTTTTAACTCTTGTTTGTGATAGGCATAGCAGCCAACTGGGAGAGGTTTGTTCTTGCTCCATCCAGACTCTCAGCTGCATACTAGGGATGACTCTGTGAAGGGGGGCAGCCCACAAAAGGGTGTGTGTGCAACACTCCCTTTATTGCAGTCTTCCTTCCCCTGTGTTTTTTAACGTGACCTCCTCTTGCAGCACAAGCACAGCCTTTGTAGTGTGAAGAGCAGCATTCCCAGCAGCCAGCTTGTATGTGGAATCCTCTCCTGGGCTTTAATCATTGTTTACAAGCAGTTGCTAGGTGTTGCGTGAGCCCCCTCTCTTAGAGCCGAAGGACTCTACCTCCAGCACCAAGAGGAGCTGGGAATTTCCTGACCTTTGCTCTCCCACGTGATAACACGGGAATGACCAGCTAAACCGTCAGGCAGGCTGGTGCTGAGAGCTGCTCTTCACATTGACTCTCATGTGAGGCTCTGGATGGCTGTTGCCTGCATGACCATGTGCTTTAGGCACGTGGCAGTCCCCTGTGCAGCCTGCTCAGCATGGCTCTTGCTAGAGCAGCAGGCACGCGCGCACGGCTGTGTGCGCCTGCCATTACCAGCCGATGCCGAAACTGCAGTGAAATGGAAAAGCTTCGCTCCGGACTGCCACGGCAAGGGAAACGCAATATGCAGACAAGCCTCACAAAACTGCTTTCTGGATCAAAGGAAGATGCAAAATATATTCAGGCAAATATTAAAAATAG